TAGACAGGTAGACAGCTGCCCAGGTAAACAGCTAGACAGGATGCAGTGAGTCATAAAAAATCTGATGGCTATTGCAAAGAGTGCATGCACTTCTGTTTTAGTGAGAGATTATGAAGAGGTGGAGAACTTTTGGGTCTGCCCGCTTCTGTAGTTGTCTGCTTCCTGTTTAAACAACAGTGAATCCTCAGCTGTCAGAACAACAGTGATCTGAAGCTATCATTTACCTTTTACACAGGCATATACCCTAACTGTATGTATTTCTCTTCCGTTACAAAAGCGTGCGCCCTATTCGCAGGTACCTGCTGTGTGGACAGACAGTGCTGGGTGACATGACTTCACCTGGCATGGCCCTCGTCACCGCCTCCATGAGGGGTACCCCTCCCGCGAGTCCGTCCAAGAAGCAGATGGTGCCACCGGTGCCCGGGTCGCCCCTCGTCGTGGCGGCGAGCAGTCAGATTCCGCGAGCAGCGAGTAGAGCCGTGCAGGTGTGGACAGACTCCTGTCATTAATTCCTCCGTCCTAGAATCCACTACAGCAGTCCTTGCTCTGTCGCGAGAGATCAGGAACCACGAAAATGTCCCAATTAAGCCGTGGTTCCGATTAGGCGGTGAACGCATAACGACATGCATAAGGATTGCCTTTTTAAGACATGTTGTTTAAGCGATGCGCCCGTATATCCGAGGCGCGATAAAGCTGGGACCACTGTACTTGGATAATTGCGTAACCAATGGTCAGGTGATTGATAATTGAATTTGAAGGGCCTTTAATATTAAAGCTTTAGTATGAGAGCCCTTTAATAACGACCGTAGTGACAATGCGTGGTAACTGTTACAACGTGTGTAGCAACCGTGACGAGGACGGTGCGTGGATGCTTCCACTCTGTACAAATAGATCTACATTTCTACGTAGAAAAATGTGTACTCCGAATTGTTTCCGTATGATTGCGAACGCGAATTCCTATATATGTAGCCAAAATGGTGTGTATCTTTGTTATTATTATTATTATTATTATTATTAGGGTATATATTATATATTGTACGATGTCTTTCGCAGGTTTTGACTGCTTCAAGGCAGTGTTTGAGAGTATCAATATATTCGAGCATCGGTTGAAAAGATTCAGCAACACCATGGTGAGATCATCCTCCACCAAACGCTCATCGCTATCCGTTCTTTATCACTATCGCTTCATTAAATTTTTCTATCAAAGAGATTTATGATACTCCAAATGTTACCCCAACGAGATTTATGTGCTCTTGATACTGTACCGCATTAGTAACAAACAGTATTTATTAAATTATCCTTCCTTCTTGGCCAATCAACGAGAATCAATCTAACTGTGATGTAGGTGTCCCAGCTCTGCTCATAGTTTTCCTATAACGTAGTCACCATGGCACCACAGAATGGTAATATTATACGATAAGACCAATCTTACTTTTCATTCTTTATATACATCTATAGTATCTATCTTATGTGGATAATGCAGATTATTGCATTCTAGTGTCGAATCCCCTCTTCTCTCTCCCCTTCTCGCAGCAGGTCGTGGATAAGGTTGAGCTGACGGCCACCCTATAATGAACCTCCTGTGAATGCTCCCTCTCTCCCCCTCCCCCTTGTAGGTTGTGGATAAATTGGAAATTATTTTGCGGAAGGCAACTGCTGCGTGCCTCCTATAGCACTAACCTCTCTCCCCCTCTCTCCCCCTCTCTCCCCTTCTCTCCCCTTCTCTCCCCCTCTCTCCGGCAGGTCGTGGATAAGGTGGAGTTGACGGGCATGGACTACCTGTGGTCTGTGGCGCTCGAGTCGTCGGACGAGCCGCTGGCAGACGCCGCCGTCAGCTACCTCATTGAGCTGCTCTACCTGAACCTCGCGCCGCGGCTGAAGAAGGACGCGCAGGCCCTGCACAGACGCTTCATCAACGACTGCTACAAGCGACTCGAGGTAACTCATCGACGACGATGCGCAGCGGAGGCGTGGCAAGCGGGAGAGGGGTTCTGACGTCGGACGTCGGGCGTCGCCGGCCGCGAAATATGTTGACCGCGAATGTCTGTCACCGAATGCTTCGTCGATTTTACAAGTTGCGAATTTTTAAAATTGAGGGATGGATTTTGCCGAAAGTTGATTAACGGAAGGTTGCCGTTGCGGGGAAACGTGCAGCTTGGAAGCCTAGGAATGGCTTTTTCCTCTCGCGACCTTTGCTGACCTTGGTGCGGTGCACGTGCAGATTTTGTCAAGTTGTTTCCTAGAGCCGGCAACTATGCGTGTATCGTGTCAGCTAGTGTTTGATTACCCCTACAGACGTGCATCCCTGCCTGCAGTTCCTGCATGATTCCTGCAGTATAAATAATGCAGCATAATTCCAGCAGTTACAGCTAATGCCCCTGATAATAGTAAATAACTAATATTACCGCTACAGGAACCCATCCATGCACGGTATATGCATCAATTCCTACAGTCATAGCTAATGTATTCTGTCAGTAGTTAATAGCTAGTGTTACAACTCCAGACCTGCATCCGTGCACAGTATATGCACTAATTCCTGCAGTCGTGGAGTAGTTTTCCTGGCTAATGCATCTTACCCAGTAACTAGCTAATGTTACAACTACAGGCATGCATCATCACGCTGGGTAACTCTGCACTGGCTGACGCCATCTCTCAAGCGACCAAAGTACTGACCGCGTCGACGGTGGCTGAGGTCGCATCCGTACCTACTCCATCCAGGTGAACCACCCGTACTCGTTAATTAGCCATTACTCATTAATTATCCATTACTAAGTTAATTAACCATTACTCAGAAACTAACCATTACTTGGTTAAGTAACCAATACTTGGAAACTAACCGTTACTTGTTATTTGTTAAGTAACCACTAACTATTACATGATAATATTAATGTCAGTCAGCTAAGTATACACTTGTATTATATAGCTAGTATTATACTTATATTATATAGCTAGTATTATGCTTATACTATATAGCTAGTGTTATACTTATGTTATATAGCTAGTATTATACTTGTACTTGTCGCATGGCTTCTCTCATCCTCCCCCGCGGATCTTCTTCGTCTGCAGGGTTGGGAGGCTACAGAACATCGAGCGTCTGCTGCTGATCGCCGAGCGTTACGTGACGACGGTGGAGGACCACCACGTGCCGCGCACCATCCTGCCGCACGCTCTCAGCTTCCACGGCCACCCCGTAGCCCTGCACGTCGCCTGTGACGCGCCCAAGCATGAGTTCTCTATAAACGTGAGTCTAGGGGAGGGTACATAGGGGTGGGGGGAGGCGGGAAAACACTTCTGTAGATTCCTATGTGAATGAAATCCTATTAAAACCAGAAGAAAAAAACTTAGAATCCTATTGACAAAATATTCTATACCATTCTATAGGAAAATATCTAGGAAATGTTTCTATAGAGTCCTATAGGAATAATTTTCTATAAAAGTATAGTAATTTTTATATGGCGTCCAATAGACAATTTTCTGTAGTCCTCTCTACATACAATTCCTACAGAATAATTGCTGAATATTTAGTACATGTGTTTGTATTTGAATTATATGCAATAAAGATTTAATAATAATAATAACAAATTGACTTTGCGGCTCACAGGCGCACTCAAACGAGACGTTGGCATCGGTGAAGGAGCGGGTAGCTCAGTACCTGAAACACAACCCAGAACAGATACAGCTGGCAGCAGGCGACTCGATCGTAAGTAGCATCGCGCGATGGGGGAGACACATTGGTTTGTAACTCTTGGATACCGATCGCCGGCGGGAGAATTAGAGGAACGAACAATCGTAGAAGAACTTGATTGAAGTGTAGGAGGGGGGGGGTAGAGGTGTGCAACAGGTGTGTTATCAGGTGTGTTTTACTGTGGTAAGCAGGTGTGCTGTAGTTTGTTAATTAGACACGGTGTGGTTTGTTAGATAGGTGTTTTGTGGTGTGCAGTAAGTAGGTGTGTTGTGATGTGTTGTGTAGGTATGATCTGCGACTGTGTTATATTTCTGACAACAAGTTTGTTGTGTAGGTATATGGTGTGGGTATATATATCCGTGTGCGTGGAATGTAGTTCTCTTGGGAGACATTGTCAGAAACGTCACGAAAATTTCTTATAAAAATTTTTGCATTGCACTTCACTACAAAACTTCAAGCTTTTAGACATATGCTGTCATAGCTGCTTGTGACAACATGATCTTTTTGACAATGCCCCACCCCCACCCACTCACTAAGCTGTCTTACGTTCTCTCCCATGCTGCACACAGCTGCTGAGCAGTCAGGACCAGAAGCTACTCTATCAACTGGAATTCCAGGACGTGCAGCCGCTGCAGTGCAAGATGGGCATCGCCACGGTGGGCCCCGTCGTACCCTACACCGGCACCTACCACCAGCCCGTACAGGTGAGCGCATTGCGACGAGGATGCAGCGTCGGTCTGTGACTGCGGTTGGGTTTTGGGGGTGTGAGTAGTGTGAGTTAGGGTTTTTTTGTTTTTTGTTTTTTTTTCCTCCTTCCTCGTTTCTCTGAGGAGAGAGTAGAGGAGGTAATGCAAGCTGCCGTGCTGTGGGGGATACGTGTTATGGGTGAGTATGTCCCAGAGTGTGGTGGCAGGAGTGTGCCCCTGCCACATTAATGGAGGAAGATGAATCATAAGTTGCACTGTTTGCTATATTGCACTCACTCATGATTGTGCTGACAGTATCACAACAAGCTGATGTTTTCTTTCTCCCTTGTAAATGTGAAAGGTATGACTGTGTACAGACAAATTCCTTCTCCTCTAGATCTGTAAATGTAGAAGACACAGAACAACATCTTCCATTCACCTTTCTGAAACTACATTTTAGTTTTGGGCTTGTTTACCTAAATTTGAAAGGGGGATGTTGCCTCCTGGTTCACTTCAGTGATGATTCAAGAATCCAGTAATAATCTTCCTTGTTGACCGAAGATCAGTAATCTCTTTGTAATCAGAATCTATCAAATGCACCTTTTATCAACTTTTATTAAGCCATATTGTTCATAAAAGGAGCAATATAACTATTACAAAATTCGATTACACGTGTGGAGCTACTTAGTAGTAAAAGGGGAACACTACCATGGACAGATACTATGGATGCGATACCGTGTGCACATCTCTTATACCCCGTACAGACTACGAATTTGATATGGTACTAAACTGTAAAAATTGCAGTGTGTACACGCTATCCCGCTCCAAATACTCGCTGGCCCGCTCCAAGTTGGGCCCCCTTACGAAGCAGGGCTATCTTGGTGCGCACCAAGTTATCCTGCTGTAACTCTGTGTCTGTACGCAATCGGTGCCTAACGCGCGCCAAGTTTTGCAATGCGCATGCGCATAGCCTTATTTAGGTCACGTATGCTCGCTCGCACGCATGCTCACTGTACCTCGCTGTCTGCGTGGTGACGTGGCGAGCAGGGAACTGAGCGGTGGGAGAACTGATGACTCATTTAGCCTGCTTCAGAGTTTTGTGTCTGTGCGCTCCTAGTTAGCGCGCATTAGACGCGCTTCTAACGTGCGCTAAAATTCGTAGTCTGTAAGCTGTTAATTAGGACTAAGCTGTTTCTACAGTGCTGCCTTTTGTACTCAATTTCAGCCAGAAGAGTCAACAAAAATGGAAGTTGAGGTACTAATTTCGTCGCGCGCCGCTTCCGCGAACTAACATCCCACGATCACGTGCTACAGATGAAAATTTCACTACTTTGTTAGGTTTACGAAAATGATTCCTAAAAATATTAAAGAGAACGAGGTCGTGACCGGCAGGTTACTCACGCATTCTGGCGGAATATTCAAGTTGACATCAATGTTATTACATGGAAATTATTTACCCTATTTTTTAAAGATTTCACATAGCAATATTAGCCACTCAGTGCGGCTTTAAATGCACACCTGTTCATCGTAATGCATCTAAATTCTTCGATTTACCGTCAAATTCCCCACCGGTGGAATTCGTGACTTTGGTAATTCAAATTACTCCACTGATTATTTCATCGTTGCATACCCGAACGTCGTCACAATCATTCTTCAACGGAGTTGACCTTAAGCATGCTTGCCATGACCTTGAGTTCTCTCTGCAACCTTAAGAGCTTACTGCGACCTTTAACGCTTTCTGCAACCTCGAGTTCTCGTTCCACGACCTTGTGCTCCCGCATCCGTGACCTTGGCTTCTCTCTCGTGCGCGTCACAGGTGAGCAGTGCGTCGGCGTCTGCGAGCGCGCCCAACACGTATGACCTTGACCACGAGCGACAGTGGCCCGGCGTCATCATGGCTGCCGGCGGACATGTGTTTGAGATGTTCTACCAGCTGGCAGAGCTTGACGATCCAAGGTGACCCCCGACTCCCACCCACCCCCCATCCAAGATGGATGTCGAAATCGCTACTGTTTTATTATTCAGGAAATTACTTTGAGGAAATAGTTATGTTAGTTGTAATTATAACTGCTGTCCTATTTCTATTCGATTATTGTTTCATTGTGCTATTACTACTATTTCTTATTATTCTTAGCCTATTTTTGCCTTGCCCTTAGAAACTTTTGCAGTGAGACAATACAAGATGACCTTGATCTCGCAAAAGTATGCTATAGTTTTTCCTTAACCCCTCTCGAAGGTACAGTAAGATGACTAGTGCTGCCCCCATGTGCTAGTTTCCTGACGTCACATGTGTGAGTTTGTTGTTTGTGTCTAATGTAGGATCAGAGCCAGGGTGCGAAGCCTGCTGATGCTTATACCTACCGACTCCTCAGTACTGGATGCTCTAGACTCCATAGGTGCCAAGGTACACTATACGTTTAAATTCCAGTTATATGTGACCCGCTCCAGCAAAACCAGGATTAAGTAGGAAATTCTACAAATTGAGTTATGTTCATATCTGAATAGATCATCTAATTACCTTTAAAATGATATATAATATTTGGCTATATCTAAAGAATTGACCGATCTACAGCAATTTGAAGATCGGGAACCGACTTATTCCGGAATATGCAGCTTTTGAGATAAAGCGTCCGGGGTAAGGGCCAGTCAGGATGATGGTCAGGGGCCCATTCAAAAAAAAATTTTTATTTTATTTTTTTATTAAAAATAACGCAGTAAATAATCTAAGAGATATTGAACCGCTATATATGCACTTAGGAACTTATTTTTGTAAAAATAACTCAAAACAATACTTGCGACTTAGTCCGTATTATGCTGGAGCGGGTCACATATTGTTAAGCACTAAAATAATGTTTATTAGATAAATAATAATACTATAATGACCTGATAAATAATAAGAAGCCGATGACAACGATAGCAAAGATATATAATTAATGATATATGCAGAGAGCACTCTTACAGTAGCATATGAGATGGATGGTAAATGTTGGATTCCTATATACATATGATAAACTCGAGCTCATCGTGAAGGAACTAGAACAGAGTAGATGTGGCCATCTTGCCACTTGCTCTCCCCCTGTCTCTCACATACTCTACAACTGTCCATCTGTCCCTTCTTTCCCACCCTCTCTCCTTTCCTCTATCCCATTCCCTCCCATTCTAGCTTTCTCTCTCTCTCTCTCTCTCTCTCTCTCTCTCTCTCTCTCTCTCTCTCTCTCTCTCTCTCTCTCTCTCTCTCTCTCTCTCTCTCTCTCTCTCTCTCTCTCTCTACCTCTCTCTCGCTCTCGCTCTCTCTCTCTGTGTGTCTCTCTCTCACTCTACAGGAGGGTAGACTCCCTCCCCCTGCCGTGGGTGGTGCGTAGCCCACGGTGCATTTGACCCTCTCTCCCTCTCCCCCTCTCTCCCCCTCTCCCCCTCTCTCTCTCCCTCTCCCCCTCTCTCTCCCATTCTATATACATATATCTCTCTCTCTTCCTCTACAGGACGGTAGACCGCCTCCTCCTGCCATGTCGGGTGTAGAGGAGGCGGTGCGCAGCCCGCGGGTCAGCCCCCGGCTCAGCCCGCGTAAACGTCAGGAGGCCAGCACGTCTGTCAAGGAAGGCTTCAGCAGCAAGCTGACGCTGCAGCGGCTGTTCGACGCCTGCGCGCCCAGCATGTCGACGTTCAGAGTTGTATACAACCTACAGGTGAGCATCTCGAGATGTATACAACATGCAGGTGAGGTAGCGTGTTGACGTTCACAGGCGACAGGTAAGCCTAATGAGTCAACGTTTAGAAATTATAGTTACTTACGGGCATGTTTAGATTTGTACTCACTCATTCACTCACACGCACGCACTCACTCACACCCACGCACTCACTCACACCCACGCACTCACTCACTCAGTCACACCCACGCACTCACTCACTCACTCACTCAGACACACTCAGCCACACACTCGGTCACACACTCACTCACTCGCTCATGCACTGCCTGACTCACTCACTCAATCACTCGCCCACACACCCACCCACTTTCTCACTCACTCACTCACTCACTCACTCTCTCTCTCACCCACTCACTCACTCTCTCACCCACTCTCTCACCCACTCAATCTCTCACCCACTCGCTCTCTCTCACTCACTCACCCACTCACACACTCACTCACTCACTCACCCACTCACTCACTCACTCGCCCACTCACTCACTCACCACCTGCTGCGCTCTCTCCTCTCTGCACCAGGTGTTGAGCGCTAAGCTGATGCCGACTACGGGCGACCCGGCGACGTTGAAGAGCGCACAGCAGTTCTGCGAGGACTTTCTCAACGCGGGCGGCCTCGGCCTCGTCGTCAACGTGCTGCAGCGCGACGCCATGTCATCCGACGTCGACTACGAGACGCGGCAGGAGTGCTGCTCCATCGCCCTGCAGCTAGCCAGGTGAGGCGGGTAGGCAGGTAGACAGCTGAGTGGGTAGACAGGTGAGGCGGGTAGACAGGTAGACAGCTGAGTGGGTAGACAGGTGAGGCGGGTAGACAGGTAGACAGCTGAGTGGGTAGACAGGTGAGGCGGGTAGACAGGTAGACAGGTGAGCGGGTAGACAGGTGTGCGGGTAGACAGGTGAAGCGGGTAGACAGGTGAAGCGGGTAGACAGGTGAGGCGGGTAGACAGGTAGACAGGTGAGGCGGGTAGACAGGTGAAGCAGGTAGACAGGTAGACATGTGAGCGGGTAGACAGCTAGCTAGGTCAGGTAAGCGGGTAGACAGGTGAGCGGGTAGACAGGTAGCCAGGTCAGGTAAGCGGGTAGCCAGGTAGACAGGTGAGCTGGTAGACAGGTGAGCGGGTAGACAGGTAGCCAGGTCAGGTAAGCGGGTAGCCAGGTGAGCTGGTAGACAGGTAGACAGGTGAGCTGGTAGACAGGTAGACAGGTGAGCTGGTAGCCAGGTAGCCAGGTGAGCGGGTAGACAGGTAGCCAGGTCAGGTAAGCGGGTAGACAGGTGAGCGGGTAGACAGGTAGACAGGTGAGC